CAGCTGGTGTGATCTTAATCAAGACAGCAGCTTAACTGTAGGGACATTCAAATACCTTAAACCTAATCGAAAAATTAGCTTCCTTCAAATTTCGATTATATACAAATCAAAGCGGACTCAATACCTCTTGGTCTGTATGGTCTATAAAATCTATCACATAAACCATAGCAAAAGAGATGCTAAACTTCCTGCCTTCATTCCCCCAAAGCCCCTTCTTCCTGTCCATGCCTCAGAGATCGCTCATAAACTTGGTCATTTCCATGCATCTTTCCTTCTGCCACTACATTTTACACAAAAATTCTTACTTCAAGGATCAGCTCAGAAACTAGAGAAAACTCCCTAACAAGGGCATTAATAGGCTATACTCAGCTACTTACTACCCACCAAGTCTGTATCCCATCTGATGTCTACCTCTTGTACATGGATGCCATGGCACACCTTCTACAAACCACTGCATACTTTCCCAGATCTTTGAACATATATACATGCCAGAAAGATGTTTAAAATAATCAACAGCAGGCTTTACTCGCACTCTCAGCCTGACACCAAAATGCGCCCTAGAGAAGTCAGTATGAACTCTATGACATGCCTCTGGATTTGTGTGGCCCCAGGCAAGGAAGGCAAGCTTTCATTGTCCTGTACCACTAAGTCAATGTCCAGAGGTCAGCAGAGGATATAAACTCCCCAGTACTTATGGGTCTCTGAAAGTACATGGGGCAAAGAGGCTCCAGGCACATGAAGGCAGCCATCCTAGAGAGCTGAGGCTAATGCAAAAGGAAAGCACACAGAAGGTAAGGTTAGGGGCCCAGTAAAGGGGATTTGCTGGGATCTGGGCAGAGAGAGCACCGACAGTGTCCAACGGAGGAGAGATGAAGAACTGCTTCTTGGTGCACCAAACCACAACCTGATGTCCTTATATATCATCATACTTGTCACAAAGTAGGGTGATTGTAACAGGGCGGATTGTATCTGCCTCCCATGTTAGAGCTGACTGTTCATTGAGACTCAAAAGTTGCATATGATCTGCCTACACACAGCTAGTTCAGACTTAAATACACATTATGAGTGCTCGGGTTCTGTGTGCTGCATGAGTGACTATAAATTAACTAGGTTATTAAAAAAATGACACCACAGAGATACTTTGGTTTGATTGTAACTGTAATGCAGGGGTGTCAAACTCATTTTCACTGGGGGCCACATCAGCCTTGCAGTTGCCTTCGAAGGGCCGAATGTAATTTCAACTACTTAACTGTTAAGGAGTAGTTACATTTATACAGTCCTAAAATTGTTTCGGCCCTTTGAAGGCAACCACAAGACTGGTGTGGCCCCTGGTGAAAATGAGTTTGACACTGCTGCTGTGATGTTCATTGTCACTGTTTCAAGACAAACCCTATCCTGGGTGATAAGTTGCTCAGGATCGCCTTTTTCCCTCAGTAGGAATATTATTGCTTAAGCAGGAAACCACATCTGTTGACTTATGTCCTAGAAAGGAATACCATGATGACCTCACAAATCTCTCCTTGTCTACAGATAAAGTTACTACCTTCAAATCCCACTTTCCTGAGCCAAGAAACCTAGTGTAGTACAGTGGTTTGTATACTTTTGGGACAAATCTTATGGTCTACAAGAGAAGTAAATATCTTAATAGATGTAATAGATTTTAATATTTTTTAAAATAAGAGGAAACAGAGCCTGACCAGTGAGGCTCAGTTGGCTGGGTGTCATCCCACCAAGTGAAAAGTCACTAGTTTCACCACCAGTTGCATGTTCGGTCTCTGGTCAGGGCACATACGAGAAGGGCAACCAATCAATGTTTCTCTCTCACATCGATGTTTCTCTCCCTCTCTTTCTCCCTTTCTCTAAAAATAAATAAATACTTTTTTAAAAAGAGGAACAGAAAATTTTCAACTTTTTATTGTCCTTAAAGCGATTGTTCATATTGTTTCACAAGTAGGGAAAGAACATACAATAACCCTTCAGATGTATAATGTATAACACAAGATCATCTCTCTTTAAAACAGGGGGACACTGCCACTGGCAATGAGAATGTTGTTGCATGAAATAGTCATAATTTTTCTATAATTTAATATGTAACTGAGATATTATGCTAAAAATATCAAGGAAGAAGCTTATCAAATGCTGAGATTATAGAAATACTGATGGAATGAATGTATTTAGAGATGCGTAATCTAAGGGATGAAGGTTCACGCCAAGGTCAGCAGCCCAACACAGACTCTGCCCTTCCTGGCTCTGGGATGCCTGGCAAGTGATTTCAAATCCCTCTACTCCTCTGGCATGAGCATAACCTGTGTGGAAGCCATAGCTCCTACTTGCTTCTTAGCAATGCTCCAGGGCTAAATACGATAAAATTTATGTGCTACGCTTTAAGCTCCATTGAGGAAAGGAACTGAATAAACTTCAGGATAATTTATGAATCTTGAGCTTACATTAATCCTGTCCAAGTCCATCTCATAAAAGGAAAAAATGGAAATTGGAGGCCGATTCTGTGTGGTTGGTGAAAACTCAGCTAACTCTGGGCAATGGTGAGAAGTCCAAATGATACCACTTTATATACATAAAATCCTTGACTAGTCCAGGAGAATTTCACCAAAAGCTAACGCCTTCCAATACCCAGATAAGAGTTCACTGGCAGAACATCTGGTATATGATTCAGAGACGTGTGGTATGGCAGTCCTAGTCTGAGATCCAATGTCTAATTTCCTTTTAATTTACCATAATTATCTTTGTAAGACCTTATGGCTCTCCTCCAGTGGATGTGCTTAGCGAGGACTGCCAAAATCCTGTCTTCTCTTCAGAATCACATTCTTGGGCCAGCTTCTCCCTACTTCTTTCCTTCCCATCCTATTGCATTTTGCCTTCTTCCCTCTACCACTTAATCAGTATCTGCTTCTTTTAGCAATCTTGTCCCTTTTGAAGAAAAGGGACAAGAGTATAATCTGAAAACTTCAACGTGAGCATGTATTAACACAGTCCTACTAGTAAAATTGTTCTAGCTAATAGTGATTTTTTATTAATGCTTTGGTTTCATTTTGTTTTAATAATGGCCACCTTTTCTATAACTTGCAGTATAACTGAGTTATATCAGGTAAAGTTAACCATGACAAGGTAGCCTCATCATTTAGAAACTTTGAGGGCCCCAAGCGATCACTAACCAGTTTTCCTAATCCAACAAGTGACTAAACAATTCCCATTTTCAAAGTCATAATTTGATGCTTTTATCAAACACTTTCTCTGATTTGCAGGAATGGGTTTATTTGGAGTTTAAAAAAGACAAACCTAGAAGGAAAGTGCTTTGCATGTAAGCATAACAAACCTCAGCTGATTTTCAATGTCCAAATACAGGAATAAAACAAGGAGTATCTTGTGTGTTAAAAACACATCAGAATGATTCTTCCAGAGAAAAGGCATATACATTTCCAGTACCCCTAACCTAATAATGCTTGTTTTTAAAAATTACAAGCTAAGGTCATTCTTAAGCTCTGGTTAAGAGAAGGAAAACATAGTTGCCTTTTAGAAGTTTATCCATTTGGAGAAGAAGAAGTCAAGGGAAAATCACTCTCTTCTGACTAATGCAGTATAATCATTTTCCTCACGATGGTGCCCTGCATTTTTCTCCCCTTAGAAGTTCCCATGGTTACAAAAGGATGTGACACAAACATATTTTTTTTAAAAAAAGGATGACAAATCACAGGGATGCAAAATGGCTTCCTATGGTTAGTCAGAATTTGTCATTTTGCTCTTGACATTTTCCTATTGGCCCACTTAATCCAGAACCACAAACACAACGAATAATATAAAGGGGGGTTGCTATTACAAGAAACTGGAAATGCCAGGTAACCACTTTAAGGCCATTTCAATTGTATCCTGCCCGCATGTGCACATGCACATACACCCACTGGTAAGAGTTGGAGGAGTTCACGGGAAAGGATGAAGCTCTGCAGATCGAAAGCATGGTACTGCTCTTTCTCACAGTCTCTTTAGAAGAAGACTGGAAGAGTAAAAATTGTTTCTTTGAACTATGCAGAGAATTTTACATTTAATCAATAGATTCTAAAATGCCTCCAATCAAAACACACTTTCAAAAAGCTGTTTTTAAAAGAGAAGGAACATTAACTGAGCCCAAACAGCAGGGCACTTCGCGTCCTCCTCAGTGTAGTCTGGCCCTTTGCACTAAAACGGAATGAAAGCTGTCGTGCCTAACGGGAAATCAGAAAGCCATTTGCTTGGCGCCTACTAGATTTAGAAACAGGAGAATGCACATATAGGAGGGTAACAAGACAAACAGAAATCGGGCTAAAGGAACATGCCTGGCAGACAGATGTAATCACTGAGGTTCAGGCAGACGACATCAAATTTTGGACCTTTCATCTCCCGGTGTCTATGCTGTTACATGATTAAGAGTTTTGACTTCTTCTGGGACTTGTAGATGTATCCTTTATTTTTTTGTCTGTTTGATAAACTCAGGTCCTTTATCAAGTAATCTTATTCCCTGCTTTGTTCAAGCTGACTTAAACAGGACTATTGGCTACATTAGATACAAGCCATGAGGCCATTTTCATCCCAATAGAGTCCAAAGCTAAAGGCAAGAACTTCGTCAAAAAGTTTGTAAAATGAAGATACAACATATTTCAAATTTAACTGCCTTAGATTTAATAAATGCTGTGTAACGACAATACATAAAATCTAGTACCACAGTTCACAGAGCAGGAAGACCTCACAGGTATCCACGCACGTGTTCTCATCATTGAGGGTTAAAAGTTAATAGACTGAATTTTTTTCTGGGTACATTCTACTTAGGCCCCTGCAAAGCTATACATTAAAATGCTATGTACTATTTAGCTTTGGCTTACACACTAAAAAGGACAGCTACAACAATTTAGCAGATAGCGTTTTAACAAAACTAACTAGCCCAGGGATTTATTTTTGTCGGGTTGGTTTGCTAAAGAAATATACTTCGTTCACTTCTTGTGTTCCATTTTTTAAGCCTTACAACTTTGCAAAGATACTGTTTAAATCCAAGCAGCACCAAAATAATGAAGATTCATTAAAAATAAAAGTCCTCAGGGGAATATAGGCCTAAAGGAGGCAGGTGATGCATGCTCAGTGCAGCCTCTGCTGGCACCGTTCAGCTCTCCCAGGATGGCACAAACCAGCAGTCCAGCTACCAAAGTCGGCAGGAGTCCGTGCCTCTGTTCATCGTGGAATTGGAGGGACAGTTAAAAGCTTTCTGGAATTCTTCAAAGTTGCTAATTGCACCATTGACCCTGAAAAAGATATGTCAAAGCCCATGTCATTTAATTCTTACATATTGACGGATTTTGGAGAAAACTGGAGCAGCATATTGCTCGAAGGGATGTTGCATTCATTTTATCTCTTTTCAGGGGAGGCAACTGAAGCCCAGAATGGTTAAGTAAACTTCCAAAAAAATCAACAGAGCTGACACTAGAACCAGCACCTCCTGAATGCCAGGCAAACACTCCTACTAAGCTTCCATGTATTTTCAACTTCTTATGAACTATAAAATTCACAATTGCTATATACAGAGCATAGGACTGTATATTCCTATAATTTCATTAATGTCTATAAACTGTAGAACTTACCAATACTTAGCTTTTCCATTTTTAATTTATCCTTTTATGGAAGGTATAACTGATACAAAGTGTACATGTCTTAAATGTACAGCTCATAGATTTTTTTGCATGTATGTAACATACCTATGTTACTACCACCCAGGTCAAAACATCAGATATTTCCAGCACCTAGAAGGTGAGTCCTACCAGTAGTACATCCAAGGATATCTACTAGTCTGACCTCCCTCTGTTGCCATAGATTAGTTTTGCCTGGTTTTGAATTTCGTATGAATAGAATTACAGAGTAGGCACTCTTTTGTCTCTGACTTCTTTTACTCAACATTATAATGGTATCACTATCTTTAAAGAACTCATTCATTCTCCACAAATACTTTCCCTAAATTTCTATTCTGTTTGAAGGCTCATATTTCTCTAGAGTTTGGTTCCTGCAACAATAAGCCAGCAAATGGTGTCTAGTTGTTATTGATGAGTTAACTGGAGTTTACTTCAAAACCTGGGGTTTTGCAAATTCCCCCAACTGCAGTAAACAGTGCAGATTCCTACTCAGCACTCTGACTGTATTTCCATTGTGTGATTTCTGCTGCACTCAAAATCTATAGCTACTGCAAACATCACTGGCAAGCCAGCAAAAAGCTCCCCCTTCATCCATTTCTTACGCAACTGCATGTTCAAAGGGCTGACCAGAGTCAGCATTCTGAATCACGATTTCTTCCCCACTGACTTCTTTACCTATGAGCATTTGAGTGAATATAAATGGCCAATATTATACCCACCCCCCAAAATTCCCCATAATCTCCTATGTGTTAGCTGGAATGTTTAAGTAGGGATGCATATTTCATGATGTGATTCACCCTGGGTAAATGTTACAGATATGATTTAGCTAATAATTAGTAAGTATGCTCTACAAATTATCAGTTAAAACCCAACATTACAGGCAACTAGTTAGTAAAAGGAAATAGTTTCTAACAACTTATCTGTTGACTAATTAATCTACTATGTGGCTTCATCTGCACCATTTGTCAGTAGGAGCACATTTTAGTCCATTAGAGACTGACAGCATTCTTGACAGTTTGACCCAGTGGGGGAGAATTTCTAACACAGTGATTAGATTTTATGCTATTGGGTAATTTATAGTCAACTTCTGAAGCATTTCTAAAGCAAGGTTTTAGGAATAAGACTTTTAAATACAGGAGAAATTTTAGATGACTTTCCTGAAATATGCTAATGGATTCATTTAAACATTAAATATAAAAATATCCAGGTATAATATGTTCTAAGCAAAGAATGAATAAATACAAATTATTATGGTTTTGTGAATTTCCTATTATAATTCTGTCCCCTACCACAGAAAATTTCCCTCAAACTACACTACAATTGTAGCACAGGGTTAGTAATATTAACCTTAATTTTATTTTTACCTAATATTTTATAAATTCTGATAATTATATAAGACTGTTATTCATAATCCTTTTCCCTTCATGTATGAGCAACTGTTTCAAAATAAGATACCAACTAAAAGCCAAATGTACAGCTTTTGACTCTAGGTGTGTATTATAATAGCTAAATATGACCGTATGTCTTCTTTGTGTTCAGGGCTACGCAGAGCTACTCATTTATGTTTGTTGGCTGGCCACATGAAAGAACAAGATGCATTGAACAGAGTATTCCATAACACAAAACAAACCAGAGCTCTGAGTGTTTTAAAATACAGTACTGCCCTGGCCAGTGTGGCTCAGTGGACTGAGTGCCAGCCTGCAAAGCAAAGGGTTGCCAGTTTGATTCCCAGTCAGGGCACATGCCTGGGTTGTGGGCCAGGTCCCCAGTAGGGGGTGTGTGAGAAGCAACCACACGTTCATGTTTCTCTCTCTTTCTCCCTCCCTTCTTCTCTAAATCAATAAAATCTTTTTTTTCAAAGATGGAGTACATAAAATAGCATCCTTGTCTAAGAAAAGAGACTTTTTTGAATACAAAAAAGGTAGGTGGTTGGATAAATTAAATATTCCAGTTTACTAAGCACTCATGGTGTTCACTGAGCTCATGGATTGTTTCCTTTCAAAAACTCAAAGATAATAAAAAGGAATTAATATTAAAACTATGAGTTGGATTCTAAATTACCTTTGGAGTCTTGTACAATCTCATGAATCTCTTGATACATTACTAGACTAGGTGTGCACAAATGCCCACTACGGGAATTTATTTGAGAGAATGCTGACTAAACCAGCTTCCCACTGAATGAAAAGATGCCAAGTTTCTGTTTGGCCAGGTTTTTTTGTTTTTTGTTTTGGTCTGCAAAATGGAGATATCACTAATCACAATACAGGCTTTTATTCACATCACCTATTTGATCCAGCACTGGAATGGTTGCACAGGGGAAGAAAAGAGAAGATGAGCAGTGAAAAACCAGTGTCACCCATTTGCCCTTTTACCTAAACTCAGGTGGACTGTGAGCACCAATTTGAACTTGTTCTCGGGCAGCTTCCGGTCTGTAGGAATTGCACCTTACCTAGAAGAGAAAAGCATCCTGATAATCATATTTCCATTCCAATTATGCATTTTCTACTGGTTTAACTGCTCCAAATTATACTAAAGAGTAATTTTAGACTTGATGGATGACAGTTTTAGGAGATTAGATAAAACCTTCATCAGTAGTAACATTTATTATTCTAATCCCCAGAGTAGAAGTTTTTATCACTGTAAATAATTCCACAACTTGAGTAAATTAGGAAGGTTTCCAGACAAATGCAATAGATCAAGAGAACAGTATATGTACCCAGGAATCAACCAATGTATTCATTCAATTAATATAATGCTTGCAATGCCCTTTTGAAATGTAACTGCATTCATTTGAATCAGGAAAATGAATGAAGCACCCATTATTGAGTACGGTCATGAGAAGTTAGGATTTTGCACGCTGGGGGCCTTGTTTGCCTCACCCTAGAGCAGCCCTTGGGCAGGAGAAGCCTCCCCCATCTCCTGTGCAGTTGTGCGTGGCAGTGTGACTTGTGCTGACCAGTGAAATGTGAGGAGAGGGGATACATGTCCTTTCCTGGAGAAGTTTTAAAAAACTGGGAGAAGTTTTAAGAGCCTTCAGAACAATTTAAAATGCTACGTTAAGGGCCACTGCGCATTTCCTCATATTCCTTTTGTACTCCTGTGGTGACCATGGAAGCCCATGTCAGGATAAAGACTCTAAAACCCAGGCCCCTGAGTAATAACTACGAGCAGAAACCCAATACCGGCCAATGTTGAACAAAGGGCATGAACAAAAAATAAACTTCCCTTGTTTTGTCTCTGCACCATAAGCTACTTAAGCCTGGCTCGAGGCATGTCTTCAAATATGACATAGTCTTGAAGTATGAAAAGAACCAGGATGCATGAATATGATGGGGAGGCAATTCAAAGTGGAGGAGAATGGAAGTGAAGGCATATTTGAGAGGGGAAGAAAAAGAGAGACATTCAGTGTGGCTAAACTGGGGTGCATAAGGGGCAGCCCTAGGGGACCGGGGAGAAGGTGCCAGGTTTCTGAAGCCCTGAGCAACAGCCTCAAGTGCTTAAAACTATATTTAAACACTGCGATGAGCAGGGAAATGATAAAAATCCTATTTTAGAAAGATTTCTCTGGCAGGGATATATAGAAGTAGAAGGAAATTAGACACTAGTTAGAAGACTATTTACGGGCCCCAGGAAGGCTCCCGATGAATGTCTACTAAATAAGTAGAGATGCAAATGGAGAAAAGCAGAAAGATAAGAATATCCGAGGGAAAAAGGTGGCAGGTCACGGACACCGCAGGAATACGGGAAGCAGGAAAGGCAACATGACGCTATGGCTTTCCATCAAGATAAACCATCAGTCACAGTGGTTCTCACTTTAACTTTGAAGATGTTTTTGTCATATGATTCTTCAATTTCCTCAGAAACTAGCTACTGTGAAGTTGTTTCTGGCACTCAATTTTACCTGAGTTTTTTCTTATGTCATTTTTCCTCCTATTCTTACATTATTGTACAGTATTGTCTTTGCTTCATACTATCATTTCTGAGATTACTATAAACACATTATGGTTGTTACTGTTTTCCTAGTGTCTTCGTAGGAGGGAAGATATAACTTTATTTCCTATAAGTAGACTTGTTCAATGTACAAGAGACTGAAAATCCCCTCATTCTGTCAGTGGGAAAAGTTCTAAGAAATTTCTCATTAGTGATATAAAATGGCTTTCTATTTTTCCTATATCTCTTTAGTTTAAAGTAAATCAGATATGGCTTTTAAGCTTATTTGGAGACATTTCAAAAGGATGACTGTAATGTTGCTATGCTATCAGTTAGTTCACTTCATCTACAAAGACATGTTGTGAACTAGGACGTAACTAAGGTGGACTTTGAGTAAGTAAGAACCTAAGTAAGAACTGATGGACCTTGTACTTTGTCTTCTAGAATAGAGGTCAGCAAACTTTTTCTATAAAGCAAAAAGTAGTAAATAAATTAGGCTTGGCAGATCATAAGGTTTCTGTTTCAACTACTCAACTCTGCCACTGTAGCCCCAAACCAGCCAGAGGCAATAAGTAAAAGAAAGTCTGTGATTATTTTGCAATAAAACAGTATTTACAAAAATAGATGGCAGGTCACATTTGGCCATGGACCCTGGTTGGCCAAGCCCTGCTCTAGAAAGTTCTGACTATGCCTCTGTGTGCGCTTCTTTTAGCTATATGAAGTCTGTCCAGAAAGTATCTAGCCATAGAAGAAGCTACAAGATACAAGAAACACTGTACATAGGACAATGATGCCTCAGTCCCCCTCAAGGTAGGCACCTTGGGACCTCACACAGTTCTCCCAATCGCCATCAGCTGCCCCATCATATCTTCCTGAATCTTATCAATGGTCTGAAAACTCTTCCCTTTCAAAGGTGATTTTAGTCTTGGGAAAAGCCAGAATTTGCAGGGCACCAAATCTGGGCTCTAGGGGGACTGAGTCACCTGGGTGATTTGATGTTTCACCAAAAAACTCTGCATGAGATGTGATGGTATTTCAGTGGCATGTAACACAGACAGTGGTGAAAAGATACTAAAGTCAGTAAATCATGTCATGAGGCTGGTGGAATAATCCAGAAAAGAAAAGTTCAAGACCTAGCCAACAGATGAAAAGAAAGAGAGGCTGAATCTGAAGAGCATTTAAAAGAATGAAACATCTAGCTCTTGGAACACACATAAAAACAAGGATAGATAAACGAAATAAGACCTAAGAATCCAGGTTTTCTAATCAGGAAGACCCAAAGACTGGGGGTGTTTTAGGAGAAATGAGAAAACTAAACAGAAGTAATTTTGTTCATGACTCCAGTTTTGTTCATGTTAAATGGATAAGTAATATTTTGTTTAGGGCTGTCATGCCGACTTTAAGAAATAAAACACCCCAGACAGGTGGGAATCATTTAGGCAGCGTTGAGTGAAGAAGACATGGGAAGGTATGAACTTAGTGAGGAGAAATAGGAGGGAGAAGGTTGTACCGATGAAAACTTTTGTGGAGTTTTGAGCATGCAGAGACATATTTGCCCACTCCAGTCCATGTGTCAAAACCTTCCACAACCCATCCCTGACTTCTTTGAAAACAGAGCCTACAAATTTGTGACATAAGCCAGTGCAGTAGTTAATAACAAAGAATTGGCACTTGCTTCATTAGCCAGACTCTCCAATGCAGAAATGCCCCTTATTTAGTGGACATCATCTATTTCTGCTCGGAGAGCCCATTAAACTCACAAAAGAGTCACGTGACTCTCCTTGCCTTTGTTGGTTTTTTTCCAGTTGTAGTAGTCATCACGTATTCATCTGACAGTTGGGAACACAACCTATGGCCCCCCCCCCACAGGGTGAGAGTGGTGAGGTAGTCCGCAAACAAGGCAAAGGGGACATGCAGGAAAGCACGGGGTCATGAAAGCCAATGGGTGAGTCACTTGAAATGGCTATTATAAATGCTTTCAAATAGTTAACATTAGAAGTCAGGCTGTACTACCCAAATATCAAGTGAGTTCCCCTAGGGCTGGTAACCCACTTTATTAAAAATGCCAATAAACCTTGATTCAATTAGTTAATTATGTCTGGTAGTTAGGAACTGGGTGAAAAAGGAGAAGTGATTGAGAGGTACAAATTGGTAGTTACAGAACAGTCATGGGGATATAAAGTACAGTATAGGAAAGGTAGTCAATAATACTGTAATAACTATGTATGGGCCAGGTGGGTACGGGAAATATCAATGGGAACACTTTGTAAAGTAGATGACTGTCTAACTGCTATGCTGTATACCTGAAACTAATACAAAATAGTATTGAATGTAAAAAAAAGCTCCCAATTACAGTACAATAGGCTAAAAACTGATGTCTCATGGAACATTAAGAAAATGAAATTTGCCCTGGCCAGTGTGGCTCAGTGGATTGAGTGCTGGCCTATGAACCAAAGGGTTGCCAGTTCGATTCCCAGTCAGGGCACATGCCTGGGTTGCAGGCCAGGTCCCCAGTAGGGGGCATGCAAGAGGCAACCACACATTGATGTTTTCCTACCCCTCTTTCTCCTTCCCTTCCTTTCTCTCTGAAAATAAATAAATAAAATCTTTTTTAAAAAGAAAATGAAATTTATTGTGAAAATAAGCAGCAAGATAAAAATTTCAACTGAGATGAAAGTTATGCCATTAAACATTTGTTCCAAACCTTTAATCAAAGAAGCAAGACAAAGTCCCACATTTCATCTCTGATGCCCCTTCCTTGGTCTACTCACATGAGCATAACTCAGGAAGAAGAGCTGGTTGTTGGTGAATGTGATACCTGGTAGAAGAGGCTCCTCCACTCCCTGCCTCCTGTCATTTATCCATTTCCTGTAAGCCTGATAAGAGAAGCAGCACAGGTGACCCTCTGCAATGATAGCTTTTCTCCTTTACTATCCAGTGCAGAGATATTAAATATGTCCTCTACTATGTGCAAAATGTACCTTGTCAAGGTTTCCATTAAGAAAACAAACCTAGCCCTGGCTGGTGTGGCTCAGTGGATTGAGTGCCAGCCTACAAAGCAAAAGGTCAGCGGTTCGATTCCCAGTCAGGGCACATGCCTGGGTTGTGGGCCAGGTTCCCAGTCCAGGGCATGTGAGAGGCAACCACACACTGATGTTTCTCTCCCTCTCTTTCTCCCTCCCTTCCCCTCTCTAAAAATAAATAAATAAAATCTTAAAAAAAAAAAAAGAAAGAAAACAAGCCTAGAAATGCATGTCAATATTGTACTGCTTAACAGGGAAGTAGGTTCACCTGCAAAAAACCCTTACATTGAGTAAATACCAAAGCAGTAGGGCCAAAGCGTTCACTTGTTAAATAACAACCCTTCCCCACAAAAAGATGTTCTTTCTCTTCTTACCAGGGAACAAACAAATCTAACACAATGACCAGGGCTGTGGAAACAAATTTGGGGGTCAACATACTGCCAATTTTTTTATTTTGCCAGGTAAGAGGAAATACTCTCATCAATCACCATCAGCTTGTAAAATAAATATATTTCAACTAGAATAGAAGAAGGATATAATCTCAGAATAACAGCCTTTGTCTTCACATTGAATGCATTTAGCTTTTATGAAAATCTTTCCTTATCATCCTTATGTTTGTTGTTTAACCACAGACCAGTGGATGATGAAAATATTATTATGGACTCTTACCTGGCCAGCTACATAAGAACTGCTAGCCTCTGGTCATAATATAGAAGTCTGGTATTTTAAGAGAAAATTATAAGGAACCTCACATGAACCTCACCCTGAAGAGATTTCTGTAGCATGCTTTGATATTATTATGAATGTTATCTTCTGAAAACTATCTTTTAAATACATGATTCTTTTTTTTTAAAGATTTTATTTATTTATTTTTAGAGAGGGAAGGGAGGGAGAAAGAGAGAGAGAGAGAGAGAGAAACATCAATGTGCGGTTGCTGGGGGTTATGGCCTGCAACCCAGGCATGTACCCTGGCTGGGAATCAAACCTGGGACACTTTGGTTCCCAGCCTGCGCTCAATCCACTGAGCTACACCAGCCAGGCCTTAAATACATGATTCTTAATAGCAAATATTATTCTTTAGTAAGTGATTTTATACCCAAAAATAAAAGAGAAAGAAATGTAGCTCTATATAACAGAGTATAATAGAGTCAATGGCAAAATATAATACTAATTACAGAAATTCACAGAATTTACAGAAATCTTAATCCTCAAGAACATGTCTATGGTGTGAATTGAGGTGCACCCATATGGTGTTTTAGAGCTTAATTTTTTAAATCACAGCAACTGTTGCAGTACATACCCTAAAAGCTTCCCGCAGACCTCCATTGTCAGCAATATTTTCTCCCAGGGTCCTCTTCCCCTTCACCTAACCAAAAAAAAAATAGTATTTCGCAGTCAACACTATCATTCAGCAAGGGATATAACTAAGATAGCAAGAAAAAGTGCCATGTTTTAAAGAGAAAATTACATTGAATAAATAAGAGGTATGTATAATACAATGTGTTATGATCAGAAACTAACCCCAGCAAGGTACTCCTGAATATAATCATTTCTATTTTATTATGCAACACATTTCTTTCTCCCCCACATCTTTGTTCTCGCCCATTTAGCCAGCTTCAATAAAATGTTAAAAATATTCTGAGTGACTCTAGTTTAACGGGGAAAAAATAGAAATGTCAATATACAGATTACGTTATTGGATTAGCTTGCATAATGGCAGTATTGTTTATAGTGTGCTTGTGTTTCCAAAAATTTACCATCACATGGGAACAAGAGCTCCACACCAACCATCACCATTTCACCTTTAGCAATTTCCATGAAAAATTAAAAGGAAGGTAGTTCTCACGGGGAACAAAAATCAAATAGAAGTAGCACACACCACAAGATCAAGGTTTGCAATATGTATGATAACCGGCCAAGCATGGTGAAGAAATTCTTCCAAATAGTTGAAGATTGTTCCTTAAACCCTTAAATAGGCTGGGACAAAGAATCTAAACCAATACAGCCCCAAAGCCAAAAGCCAACCTGCGGCTGTGTTTGTGCCGGCTGCAAGGCAAGACTAGATTTTGGACTTTTCAGTCACTGGGGGAGGGAGGAGAATCAAAAGCAGCACAGTATTTTGTGGCATGTGAAAATTATATGCAGTTCAAATTTCAGTGCTCATAATTCAAGTTTTACTGTAACATGGCAATGCCCATCTGTGTACATGTTGTCTGTGGTTGCTTTGTCACCACCGTGGCAGGACTGAGTAACTGCAATAGAGACCTTTCAGCCCCCAAAGCCTAAATTATTTACTATCTGGCCCTTTACAAAGACAGTTTGCCTATCCCTGCCTAGGAGGCAGAATCATGCTTCCCGCCAAACAATGTCTATGTCCTAATCCCTGGAGTGTGTGAAAATGTTACCTGATGTGGCCAGAGAAACTTCTAAGATATGGTTGAGGTTAGAATGAAGACAGTAGCCTGCATTGTCCAAGTGGGTCCAATGTAATTACAAGGGCCCTTTTCAACAGAGAAAGAGGAAGTCAGGAGAGAGAGGGTCTCAGTGTTGCAACGTGAAAAGGCTCGGCCTGTCATTGCTGGCTTTGAAGATGGAAAGGGCCATGAACCAAGGAATGTGGGTGGCCTCTAAAAGCTGGAAAAGGGAAAGAAACAGATCTTCCCCGAGAGCAGCTAGGAAAGGAAGCGGCCTTGGTGACACCTTGATTTTGGCCCACTGAGACCTGAGTCACACATACAGAACTATCCAATAATAAATTTGTTATCATTTCAAATCACTAAGCTTGGGGTGATTTGCTATAGCAGCAACAGGAAACAACACACTCTGCTCTTAAACCTTCAAGCCAAGGATCCTATCAACCCTTTAGTTTCAAGCTAGCCCAGTCACCCACGTACTGGCAATACTGATGAATGAAAACAAATCTTCAGATAACACTCATCTCTGTAACCACCCAGGACCTTCTTGGCTTCGGTCCCCAAAAGTTACCACTCGTGCTTTACACACATTCTTTCACTACAGTCCTACAAGGTAAGTGCTATTGTCACCACCCTTGCTTAACAAATGAAGAATCTAAGGCTCAGAGGGTGTAATACACGCCATTGGTGGTGACACACCAGATTTCCTTTCCTACCAGGACTGTATGTCCACTCCTGCACCTGCTGCCAGCTCAGGAAGATTAAGCTTGGCTTAGGTCATGTGGAGATTCTTGGGAGGTGATACCCCACCTCTCAGTAGCTGACTGACATGCAGTTAGAACAGCCCCCTACGCTGAGCTGAACAATTTCTGTGGTACAATTCATGCTCCAGTCACCTCTTTGGGATCAGGCTGAGGCTGAGGCCAAACTTCTGAAACCAATGTGTTTTCCTCACCCTCTTATAGGTCTCTCCTGAAACAATCTCCACAATAAATCACTTACCCAAGAAACCCCTTCTTCGGCTCTACTTCTAGTGAATCTAGCTAAGACAAAATTACTAACTGAACTGCTCACATTTCACAGGGATTCAAGTGCAAGCAGTCTGTCACCACAGCCTTTGCTCCATAACATTCTACCTTCTCAAGTCTCAACTACTATATAGACTCTGGTGCTTCTCTTTATATCCACTCATGCTCAAATGTAACCTCCTTCCTTGTTCCCCTCGCCTAAACTAGAGGTTTGGGAAGTACCTCATCCTTCTGGCTCCCCCTACTCAGGACCACTTCAGTCGACCATATGGCCCTACTTTTACTTCTCAGGATTTGACACCTGCTAACAGTCTGCTTCTGTGGTGCTCCATTGAGCTCTTCCCAATTCACTGCAAAGAACGATTCAGGCACAGAGGTCTGGCCTCCACAAATAGTTTAAAAATCAGGAGAACCAAGTCAGTGTTTATAAACAACACTGCCTTTCAAAGTACACTGATTTTTTTTACCTAAATACTTCTGCAATGGTGAAAAAAACAAAAGTATAATAACTATAGCACAACAAGGGTTTGGGTGCTTTCTCAGCCCCAGTAAGATATCAGGAAGGCACACGCGTTTCGTTAAGAAACCAAGAGGCCCTGGGGAAACCATGTGAAGATATACTACTGATCTACTCCAATTTCCAATTCCGTGTGGTCCTCTGCTTCTCTTAGGTACTGTGCCCTTGAATAGACAAATTAGGAGCATACAGTGTGTGCATGTGTGGTTTACAGGAAGGTCTTCTTACAGATCCATAAACTTTAAACAAGTCTTCCTTATTGGTCTCTTACTGTCAAATACAATGAGACAAATTTCTGTCTTACAATTAGGAAAGCCGGAACAGGAAATGAAATGGAAAACTACAAGAAAAAATTAATAGTGGGGGAAAGGGCATGAAAACTAACTTGATCAAACCAACAAAATAAAGAAAAGGCAACTGAAATAAAAACACTGTATGAGAGATAAACTATACAGAGAAATTTATAAAATCATATTTGAAAACCTAAAACAAAAATCAAACAGGTGGGAAAGCATACCATGTTCTTGAATGAAATTACATTATAAAATTTAATTCCATATATTTAATGTTATTTAACTTATAATCCTATGGAATTTTCCATGGGCGGGGGGGGGGGAAGAATGGGTAAAATGATTTTGGAGTACATGCAGAGGTATATTTGCCAGAGAATGGCCAAGAATATAAAAGAACAGTGAGGGAGAGCTTGTATTGATATCAGAACAATGCATACACCCACAGTAATAAGGCTTTGGTATAGAAATCAACAAATAGATCAGGAGAACAGAATATATAATACAGAAAGTTATCTCAGGATATATGAGATTCTCATACTTGACTGAGATTCTAATAACTGACCAACGTTCAGCTCAGTGAGGGGGAAAAAAAAGTCTTTTAATCAATGATGCTAGATCAATTGGCTATCCTTTTGGAAGAAAATGAAAGTGAATTCTCATATTAAACTCCACAGAAAAATAAGTGTCACATGCATGAAGATTTAAATGGAAAATAACAAAACAACAAAAACCTTCTCAGAAAAGCCAGGAGACTACAAATATGATTAGAATGGAAATACAGAAACCATTTCTTAATAGAGAAATGTTTGATTTTTATGTCAAAAGATATCATATACAAAGTCAAATGGATAAGGAATATATTTGGAGGGAAATACTATAATGTAAATAATGGACACAATTTAAACATCTATAAATAGTTTAAAAGGCCCTAACTGGTGTGGCTCAGGATTGAGTGCCAGCCTGTGAACCAAAGGGTCACTGGTTCGATTCCCAGTCAGGGCACATGCCTGGGTTGCGGGCCAGGTCCCCAGAAGGGGGTGCGTGAGAGGCAACCACACATTGATGTTCCTCTCCCTCCCTTTCTCTCTCCTTTCCCCTCTGTCTAAAAATAAAATAAATAAAATCTTTAAACAGTAGTCAAAAAATTCTCATAAACTGACAAAATAACGCAATAAATAAATGCTCTTTTATACATAACTGGTGGAAATATAAACTATTATAATGTGGTGGTACAGCAGGGACTATCTAGCCCATAAGGAAAAAGAATATGTGCATAATAAAAGTATATGTGCAATAAAAATAATTGGAGGCAAAGTGTAACCCCTCAACAAGAGGTTAGTTGAATATGCTCTAGTACATTCACACTGTGAACTTTCAGGCAGCCACTGGAAACAATGAGCTAAAGGTGTGTGTGCGTGTGTGTCTCTATGAGCATGAGAAAAAGTGTACCAGGGTTATTAAGATGGATTACAGGTGGGTAAGTAAAGAATGATGATAATGAAAAGGAAAGGAGGTGGCAGTGAAGGCCAAAAAGGGGTAAAATTTCACACATACACACAGATGCATAAAATTTCATCTGTGCCTTAATAAAGGTTTATATATATATACATATAATAGAAAATAAACATTTTAAAAGTACACTTATTTTGTTGAGAATCCTATAACTAAGAACTCTTGACCAATTCTGAGTCATTAGTTCAAATTAATGAGGTTTTATTTCAATGATTTAAATGAAGAGGGGATTCACAGTGGGAGAGGGGGTGGGCTGGATGGAGGGGGCAAAAGGGAAAAAACTGGGACAACTATAATAGAATAAACAATAAAATTTTTTAAAATCTGTTCTCCAAGCCAGAAACAAACAAACAAACAAACCTAAGCAGTAGTATGGAAGGAAACACTTTAAAAGGAAACGGAGTGTAGATTTCTAAAAATTTTATTTTTGATCTTTGCTACAGGATTTTCCACATTATTCTACATTAATCCAAATCTAGGAAAACAAACTAATGTTTAGGCCTGTAGTTCTCACACTTTACTTTGTATTAGAAACACTAGAAAGCTTGTGACGAGAGAGACTCTTAGGCCCCACCCCCATGAGATTCTGGGTCAGTAAAGTAAGACTCAAGAATTTTCATTTCTAACAACCTAACTGTACACATAAAGGAACTAGATAAAGGAGGAAATGAAGCACAAAGTTAGTAGAAGGGAAGAAATAAAGAATAAAGGCAAAATAAATGAAATACAGATTAAAAAGACGGTAGAAAAGATAAATGAAGCTAAGATATGGTTCGCTGAAAAGATAAACAAACTTGACAAGCCACTATTTAGACTCAGCAAGAAAAAAAGAACTCAAATCAAATCCGAAATGAAAGAGATGTTACAACTCATATCACAGAGATAAAAAAGAATCTAAGAGACTACTATGAACAACTGTATGCCAACAAATTAGACAACCTAGCAAAAACAGGTAAATTCCTAGAAACATACAACTTACAAAGACTGAATCATGACGAAATAGAAAATATGAAGAGATTGATTACTAGGACATTGAATTAGTGATCAAAAACCTCCCAAGAAATGTTAAGTCCAGAACTAGACTGCTTCACTGAATTCTACCAAATAGTCAATAAGAATTATTACCAATTCTTCTCACACTCTTCCAAAATAGAAGAGGAGAGAATTCTTCCAAACATTTTGTGAGTCCAGCATTACACTTATATCAAAACCAGACAAGGATGCCACAATGAAAGAAAATTACAGGCCAATATCCCTGATGAACATAGATGAGAAAATCCTCAACAAAATATTAGCAAACAAAATTCAGCAGTACATTAAAAGGTTCATAGACCATGAGTAATAGCATTTCTTCCAGAGATGCAAGAATGGTTCAACATCCACAAATCAATCAATGTGATATACTACATTAACAAAGTGAAGAATAAAAGCAGTATCATCACCTCAGTATGTACAAAAAAAGCATCTAACAAAATTTAACATCAATTTATGATGAAAAACTGTCAACAAAGTTGTTCTAGAGGGAACATAGCTCAACATAACAAAGGCCATAATATAGCAAATCCATAGCTTACATAATACTCAATGGTGAAAAGCTGAGAGCTTTTCCTCTAACACCAAGAACAAGACAAGGACATCCACCCTCACCACTTATATTCAACATAATATGAGAAATCCTAACTAGGGCAAGTAGGCAAGAAAAAAATAAAAGACATCCAAATTACAAAGGAAGAAGTAAAACTGTCACTATTTGCAGATGACATGATATATATATATATATGAAAATATATATACACTATATATTAGAAAACCCTAGAGACTCCATAAAAAAAAAGAACTAGTAAACAAATTCAGTAAAGTTGCTGGATACAAAACAAAAAAAAATATCTGTTGAGTTTCTTTATATCAATAATATCAGAAAGATATTAAGAAAATAATCCCATTTATAATTGCATCAAAAAGAGTAAAATACCTAGAAATAAATTCAAACAGGGAGGTGAAAGACTATATATTGAAAACTGCAAGGCATGCATGAGAGAAACTGAAGAAGAAACAAATTAATAGATATTACATGTTCATGGTTTAGAAGAATTAATACTGTTAAAATGTCCATACTATTGAAAGCAAAAATACAGATTCAATGCAATCCCTATCAAAATTCCAATGGTATTGTTTACAGACATGGAACAATCATAAAGTTTGTATGGAACAACAAAAAACCCCAACTAGCCAAAACTACCTTGAGAAAGAACAAAGCTGGAGGCATCAAACTCCCTGATTTCAAACTATATTATAAAGCTATAGTAACTAAAGTAGTAGATCACTGGAACAGAATAGAGTCCAGAAATAAACCCACGCATACATGGTCAAATCATTTATGACAATGGAGCCAAGAATATACAATGGGAAAATACACTCTCTTCAAATAGTTGGGAAAATTGGACAGCCACATGCAAAAGAATGAACCTGGACTACCACCTTACACCACAAACAAAAAATGAACTCAAAATGGATTAAATATTTGAATATAAGACCCGAAACCATAACACTCCTAGAATTAAGAAAGCAGCAAGCCCCTTGACATAGGTATCAGCAATGATTTTTTAAAATCTGACAGCAAAAGCAACAAAAGCAAAAATGAACAAGTGGGTCCCCAGTGAACTAAAAAGCTTCTGCACAGCAAAGGAAACCATAAATAAATAAAAAGGAAACCTAGTGAATGGAAGAAAATAACTGTAAATCATATACCAGTTAAGGGGCTAATATCCAAAATATACAAAGAACTCATATAACTCAATAGCAAAAAACCAAATGATTCAATTTTTAAAAAATTGGCAGAGGATCTGAACATTTTTTCCAAAGAAGACACGGATGGGCAACAGGTACAGGAAAAGACGCTGAACATCATTAATCATCAGGGAAATGCAAATCAAGAGCACAATGAGCTAGCACCTCACACCTGTGAGATTGCTATTACAAAGAAGACAAGAATTAGCAAGTGTTGGCCCTTGTGTACTTTTGGTGGGAATGTAAATTCATGTAACTACTATAGGAAATGGTATGAAAGTTCCTGCCACCCCAGAATTAAAAACAATACCACTTCTGGGGGTGTAACTGAAAACGATGAAAACACTCATTCAAAAAGATATCTTTACCCCTCATTCACTGCGGCATTATTTACAACAGCCAAGATACAGAAACAACCTAAGTGTCCACTGATGATGTATGCATAAGTAAGATGTGATACACCCACGACAGAATACTACTCAGCCATTAAAAAGAATGAAATCTGGACATTTACAACAACATAGATGGACCTAGAGGGTATTATGCTACATGAAATAAGTCATACAGAGAAAGATAAATAGCATATAATCTCACTTATATGTAGAATCTAAAAAAAATGAAACTGAATTCATAATTAAAGAGAACAGATTGGTGGTTGCCACAGGCAGAGGGTGGAAATAGGGGAAATAAATGAACTGGGTTTTGTTTGTTTTATTTTTAGTTTAAATACACTGAATTTAAAAATTTTAAGGGAAAAATAAATAAAGCTACTGATTCTCTTAGCAGCAGCTGCCTTGACACTACTGCTATTCTACCCATTGAAAGAACAGTTTAGCTGGGTTCTTGATCATTGTGAGTATTGGCTAGGGCGGGAGCACACCTTGGACATTTTTTCATGGAAATATTTGCACAATCTATGGTAAAAACCTACATAAATTCATCTAGTCATTACAGGAGGTGGGTAAGAGTTTTTATTAGGCTGCTGTTCTGTTTCAGTATCCAAAACAAACAAACAAACAAACTCTGGGTGACTAGATGGCTTGTTCAGGACAAAAAGGTAGAATTTGTCCCTTATCACCCTGTGGCTACCAAATGACTGCAATATAAATCCATGCCTTTTTCAGTTAATACCGAAAGTCCCTTGAACCACCGTAGACTTGGACTTCAACTACTCCCCAAAACACAGCACGTCTCGACACAATCTTCCTACTGAAATGTGAGTGAATTGGGGAGAAAAAAAGAATTTGCATTCCTAACAAGTTCCCGTGGGAGACCGAGCTGGTGGCCTGGGAACCAAATGGTGCAGGGCTGTGCAACCCCAGCCCAGGATGGCTATGAATGCAGCCCAACGCAAAATTGTAAATTTACTTAAAACCTTTTTTTTTTTTGCTCATCGGTTTTCATTAGTGTTTGTGTATTCAGTGTGCAGCCCAAGACAACTCTTCTTCTTCCAGTGTGGCCCAGAGACGCCAAAAGGTTGGATGCCCCCAGAAAGCAAGCTAATGTATAAACAAGAAAAAGGACCCAGGACACGCTCTCTTCACCGCAGTTATACTCACATGCAGGCCAGCTTTCTTCCAGTAATAGTTGCTATACTGGTTTACCATGCACTTTGTTTTTTCCTTAAACTTTTCTTCTGAGTCCAGAGACCACCAAGGATCCAGGTTTCCATTTTTATCATATTTTCTACCTAACAAGAAAAAAGTTAAAAGGTGTTTGTGTTATTCACTGAAATTAATTTCTTCACCTTCCCTATCCATCGCCTTGATAAGCAGTCCCAGCAACAAGCACTGCTCTTGACAGCAACTCCCGCCTTCTCTCCAGCATCACAGGTCAATTGTAAAAAGTGGGAAAAGGAGAAACAGGTTTGCGAAAGTTCTTTCCGTCTCAGCAACAAAGAGCATTTTAATAATAAGATGCATCCATTTCTGGCATGCTACCATTCTTAACCAAGCTTGGATTCTTTATTTTCACTTGATCTGACCCAAAATGTTCTGTGGGTTATGAAATGAAATGGCTTCATTCAGAAAGCCCATGGAGGGAGCTGGAGCACCACTACCAGTGAAAGTCCAAATGATCCATAGGAATAGCCCCAATGAGTCACTCACACCCTGCAACGACAGCTCCCGACTCAGCCTGATAGGAACGTGTTTCCCAAGTTGCCAGGAACTGAGAGACACATAAAACCTGTGTTATGAATCATTCCACAGCCATCAGTGTGGATGGAAGGGCCATCTGTCCTGCTTTGACAAGGAAGGTTGCTCTAAAAAGAGAACTTGGAACAAGAATGGAAATCTCCAGAACATAACCAAAAAAAAAAAGATGACCATATTTTGCTGTGTATAATGTGCACCCACGTTTTTGTGCAAATTATCCACCGGATTGTCATACTCATGGTATGTAATCATTATACCCATGTATAATGTACATCCTTATTTTACCCTAAAAAAATTGGGCCAAAAAGTGCACATTATAAACGGCAAAAAACAGTAGTTAATACATGCTTTTTTACTACAGGCTCACTCTTTACTTTCTCTATAACCTTCCAAAAATGTTTGGGTGTATCTGAACTATCTTCTATACTCACTCAAGGTTACTAATGGTTTAAATTTAATTATGCAGAAAACTCTTTGTTGGGCATATAAGAAAGTTCCCTAAGCAAAGGTGTTAACTGGAGCAATCCAAAGCTGTTCTATAGGCTGGATGCCACTACCACCCTCCTGGGAGAACACAGACTCGCTGTCCTCCACCCACCAGCCAACCAATTATTAAGTAGTTATTGGGCATGTCCTTATATGTGCAATGCGCTGTTCTAAGTACTGATTACAGAGGGAAATTGCCATCATTAGGTTTTCTCCTTTGAGAAATGATCCTCAAGACCTCCAGGAGACTGAGGGAGAACAGTACTTAAATTTCCTGGGACGAAAGGCCCAGAACCAAGAGACCACTGCTGCCTTTTGTTTCTTAGCTACGATTATCTTCTGGGATAAACCAAGCATGCAAATACAGAAGGTATAGCTCTGGGGATTCAGATGACTACAAGGTAGCTATATTTTAACACAGAGGGGAGACCAGGTGAGCACCAAATCTGTGTGATTAAGGAAGGGCTGGCTAGTGGGAGCACCAGAAGAACTGTCCAGAAGGAGAAGAACCACAAGGGTCTCTGGCTCTGGGAAGGCATCCAGAAAAGAATGCCGGAGATACCACCGACATGGAAGAAAGAGGCCCCTCTATTAAATATCACCTTGGGCCAGCTGGGGTCTTGAGTCCTTGTGTAAATCTTTGTGTAGTTATAGGTGTGATCACGATGTGCTGCTAATTGGCAAGTTTTAGAGATTTCACACGGCTCTCCAGGAATATTCCAAAGTTCAAAGAAAAAGGAGTGTTCGTTTAAAATGATGATTAACACTCAAAGACTGATCATTTCTTTCATTTATGCCATAGTCTGCTCTTTCCTTTTGCTTAAATGTCATCAGGGTACATAGCATATTCTATACTATGCAGTATTAGGGAAGTGTAGCCTTTGTAAAAATCTGAATCTATGCCAGCATAGACAAAAACAGAGATTAAGCATTGCATAATCCTTGAAATAGTATGAAGGAACCAGTCAGCCAAGCTCCAGATCCCTAACTCACTGAGGCCTAATTTGGCAGCATGTACCATCCTCCTCAGAGCACAGCTCGCACCTCCAGGGAGAGCATCTCGAGATGGTGAATAAAGAAATGACAAAGGGAGGAAGATACACAGTAATTCCTATAATTATTGTGGCAGCTACAGCAATTATGATCTAAATGCAAAGCTCACTTCACTGAAATTACAAGGTCATTTTTTTCATCATCCTATTTTATCACTAGTGGGAACAATGATGTATTTATTGAAAGCTATCACTGCAAAACATGGGGGAAAGTTTTCAATCAGCAATCATACTGCACTGGATAATCTTTAATCTATGGTGATGCCACTGTGCAAAAGTAATAGCAAGAATTAACATCCATATAGTTAACATTATCCTAAAAGCAGCAGCTTATCCAGTGAATCAGTACTTACCATTATTATCAAACCCATGTGTAAATTCGTGTCCAACAATTACTCCTATAGCGCCATAACTCAGAGATCTACAACATAAATATATAATTTGGAGAAAATTATAAGCATGAATGTCAGAGCATAATCCTTTCATTCGTTTTCAATGACAAGCCAAGATAATCTGTTTTCTAGTAACCATGGAAATAATCTAATAACCACAAAACTACAGAAACTCGAAACTTCTTATAGAAATGGACAAAGAAAATATAAATTCTAACATTGTCATTATGACCATGTGTGGGCCTTATTTCTCCTACCCTGTAAAAGACATGGTTTCTCAAGTCCCTTCCAGCCCTAAGGTTTCTAGGATTCTATATCAGCTCTGGCTGTAGTTTATATTTATAAACACCCAAAGCAGTGGCAGAGTTTAAAAGATCCTGTCAGTAAATATACCATTTATTTTTTATCTGAGAACCTGTTGAAAAATCACTATAGTCACAGAAGTTAAATTGTTTTCCAAATGTAGTCATAAAAAAGGAATAGAGCCGAGATTAAAAGGGATCACTCTGCTGTCAAAAGGAGTCACATTCCTCTGCTTCCGTGACAGACAAGCTCACAAGTGAATGGCAAAGATTGTGAAGCCTTAACCAGATTTGGGAAAGACATTTTTATCATTTCTCTTCACCTCTGAAGATGCATGTGGTAGATTATCAACAAGGGTGACTACTGACAATTCCAAACACCCTGAATGCAGAGCCCCACCCCCCACCATCAAGAGGCAATCTACAGGGTCCGGCAGAAGTAAGGCCTGTTTGAGTGTGGTTGCTAGGGCAATAATATAGGTATAATAATTTATAGTTTTAATTTGAACATTTCACCTAATATGTCATGTGGTGTGACTGAGTGTGATATTGTTATGTTGCAGATTTTAGCATAAAAAAGGGGTATTATTTGTGCCAGACTCTTTATTTCCTTTCCCTTGAATCTGGATTTCCTTTTCCTTTCAGGACTTGCTATGACCAACAGAATGCAACATAAGGGGCTGAATGTGGCTTCTGGGCCTAGCCCTTGACAGAACTTGTAGCCTCAAATTTCCCCCCCTTGGAAGTCAGCTCCAATGTAAAGAAGTTCAACTAATCCTATGTAGACTCAAAGGCCTAATGAAACAAGCAAGAAACACCAAAAGCTGAGAGACTTCTTTTAAAGCAAGAGAGGCCCAGCTGCAACATGTGCAGCTCAGTTCGTTGTGCATCACGTTGCAAACCAAAAGGCTGCCGGTTGGATTCTGGTCAGGGCACATGCCTGGGTTGCAGGTTCAGTCCCAGATCAGAGCACGTACGAGAGGCAACCGGTCCATGTTTCTCTCTCACATCAGTGTCCCTCTCCCTCTCTGTCTCCCTCCTTTCCCTTCTCTCTAAAAATAAATAAACAAAATCTTAAGCGGGGGGCCCAGCCAGGCCCCAGCCATTCCAAGCCAATCCAACCAGGACACCAGACATGTGAGCGAAGCCATCTTAGATCCTCTGGTCCCACTTAAGTTGCCCTAGCCAACAAACACCAGATGGAGCAGAGACAAGCTGTCTCGGCTGAGTCTTGCCCAAATTGCAGAATCATGTGACAAGAGTGGTTGCTCAGTGGCGCTTTGTTGCATAGAAATAGATAACTGAAACAGAGGCATATTAATGATATGTGAAGGAAGCAATTAGGGGCCTTCCATAAATGTGTCTGGGATCTTCTGTCTCAGCTTTAAGTTCCACAAAGATCAAACCCTTATCTACCTGATTGCTGCTAAATTCTCTGTACCTCGTGCATAGTAAGAAAGCAACAACAATTTAACTAATTGATTGACTTTATCATTTCCTGCAAGTGACAGATTGACATGTAACTTATTTTAGTTATTTAATGTGTGGATGAGGATTATGAACAACTTAAAATTCTTGTTATGAGGATACTTCCTGAGATTTGCAATCATGCTAAAAATATTTCACAGTTGCTTCCTGACATGCAACATCAAAGTAACCCAGCAAATAGGTAGGACCCATAAGTGGAAGGAACAACAATTTTTGAAGCAACAGTTATTATGGGACATAATGATCCTTAACATGCTAATTGTTTGTCTCAACTATACCCAAGGAAGTGTTGTAAGATTTAATTTTTCCCCTTGGTGGAAATTCTTTCCTTTGTTATTTCTTTCCTGCAAGGTAATTTGCATTTGAAAAAAATGCTTCCTACTGTTTTTCCATCATTGCAAACCTTCATTAAAGAAGTAAGAGTAAAATTATGCATTTCAATCATAGAGCTATCATAGCAGTGCGGGACAAAACTTGTAATTTTACATACTGCTAATTTTTGCAGCAGTAGCTATCACTGTGCAGCCTGTAACATTGCATTTTTCTAGACCTGTCAGCCCTGAGAATCATATTAAAACCTCTACAAGCCTTGGTCAATGCTGTTGACAGGATGAATTTAAGAAATGAACAATGGAGGTTTCTAACAACTATTCCTCAGCAAATGTCCCTTAGGAGGGACTGCTCCAATCAGCTTCCTGTTTGCACAGGGTTATAGAGAATTCAGAAAATGATTGAATCATTGTAAGTTCCAATTCTCAGGCACATAATTAAAATCCTTTGGACAAGAGACAAAGGGGTAATTTTTTATGACTAAGCTTTACAATGATAACGTTTCAAGATACTAAATTCGCATCTTCCATTTTATCAATGAACATTATTTAAATTATCATGTTGTAAAAATAAGTAAGCTTTATGCCTTTTAAAATGTGACTGGCTGGCCACAATAAGAAGACTCCTGAAGAGAAAATCTAGCCTTCCAAAACTAAAAGGGCGAAGATGACAATTTTCCCACCCACTCAGTTTCTCTGTTGTTCTTACTACCCACTGGATTTAACAAATGAACAGGGTTTGCTGTCAACAGGAAATCAACTGCACTGCTGCCTGGAGCAACCCCGATCTCAGGCAGTCATCAAGTCAGGGCTATTCTATGCCTGAAATGTAAATTCACAAAAATCTCAGTGTTGGAAGCATCTCTAAGGTCATTTAGTTCTATTCTTTAGCTCAGGCGTAGGCCCCCTCTACAAAAACCCATTCAAGCAGTCCTCAGACTTCTCCTTTGGCATTTTCAATAACCAGGAGGTCATCTCCCTTCTCACAGGTGGCCCATTCTCTCTTCGGGTGGTTCTAAATAAAACAGATCTCCCTAATGTTAACCTGAAACCTCTTTCCTATTTCTTCTATCCATTGGTCTAGTGTAGTCTCTAGCTGAACACCCTCGCAACCCCCCTCAAATATAGTAAATCATTCTGCCACCTTCATTTTCTTTCAAGAAATATAAAGTTATGAGGTTCAAGTTCTTTCAACTCTTTTTCTTTAGTCATGAGTTCCAGGGCAGCATTTCTTAAAACATAGAGAAAGATGGATTTTAGTAACCTCTGGGTTAAATACATTTAAATAAATTTCTTTCTTAGAGAGCTTCTTAGGAATTTTTATGCTGCTAAGTATTGTGATTCTCCAAACAAAAGGGAGGATGACTTCCCTCTCTTACTACTTCATGGAACACACACTTTGGGATATGTTGTCTTAGGCCAATTAAAATCCCGATTCTCTCCTCTGACAACAATTCAGCTTACCAGTTTACCCATAATTGGACCCAACACTCAGGGGACGGCTAAGCTGACCAGTGGAAGCAGAAAGGATAAGCAGTAGCTGGTTCTGAATGCTATTCATCCAGATCAGACACACGTGTGGGAATCCATCTCACTGGACTGAGATCCCCATGAGTCCAGCATCTCCGTATTTCCAATGCCGACCTTAACAGAAGAGGGACAGCTTCAGTGCAGACAATGAACTCTTTAGGGAAAAAATGCAAATCTCTCTCCCACTCAAGTCTCCAATATGGCTCCATAGAAGGTTAAACAAATAGATACTGATATTATTTCCTAAGTTCCTAGAATTTTGACTTCTATATCAGAAAATCATCTCACAGACCCAATAAACAAATTCACTGAATCAATACTTTCAAAACCGAACCAGGCTATTTCCAAGTCTCCAGGTATATAACCACGATAATAGAAGCTCAGTTAAAATGCTAGTGATGAGCAGAATCAAAGAATTCCAGGACTTTTTTAGTTTGAAAGGAGCTTAGCGAATATTTGGGCCAAACCTCTAATTTCATATAAATATACCTTAATTTCTAATCTTAACAATAGGGAAAATTGATTCCAAATATCTGAACATTCATGAAAACTATGCAGCTGAGGCCTGATATTAATGGATTTGAGCAATACAAACCATTTTCATTTTCCTTTATGCTAACGAGGCTGCTTTCCTACAGCAGGTTTCCTCGATGCCTGCTCCTGTCCCCTCGGCACTCACCATTTCTGAGCACAGCAATCTAACAGCTCCCAACTGCCAGCACCTGAAACTACAGATGTTCCTCCATTTACAGTGGGGTTACATCCCGATAAACCAATCCTAAATTGAACATATTGTAAGTTGAAAATGCATTTAATACACCTAACATATAGAACACCCATAGCATAGCTTAGCTACTTAACCGTGTTCAGAACACTGCCATTAGTCTACAGTTGGGCAAAATCATCTCACACGATGAACACACTGTAGATTATCCATTGTTTAGCCTCGTAATCACATGGCTGATGGGGAGCTGCATCTCACTGCTGCTGCCCAGCAACACAAGAGAGCATCATACAGCATATTGCTAGCTCAGGAAAAGGTGAGAATTCCCAGTGCATTTTCTACTGAATATGTATCAGTTTAACACCATTGTAAAGATGAAAAATTGTAAGTTGAACCATCCATCATAAGTCAGGGACCATCTATAATTGCTTGAGGACTTTCTCCAGACACCAGAGCCCTCTTGGTTTAGGCTGGGTAATACCAGGGAGCTTATACACCTGGGAGAAGCCCCCGATCAATGACAGAAGGTGAGCTGTAGGATAAATACCCAGCTCTCTTGCCCCTGAGATACGATCACACTGAAGCATATTCTACACCTTCGCAGCAGGAGTGAGCCCCAACTGTCCAGAGTGGTAACTGGCTTTGTAACAGATGTGTCATAGGCAGAATCATGGCCACCCAAAAAATGTTCACGTGCTAACCATCAGAACCCATGAATATGTTATTACACGGCAAAGGGGAATTAAGGTTGTTAATCAGCTGAGCTTAAAATAGGGAGACTACCCTGGATTGTCTGGGTATACCCAATGTAATCACAAGGGTGCTTGAAAGTGAAGGAGAAGGCGAACGAGGAGTCAGGAGAAGATGGGACTATGGATGAATGGTCAAAGAAATTCAACTTCGCGACTTTGGAAGATGGAGGAAAAGGGCCATGAGCCAAAGAAGGTGAACCATTTCTAGGAGCTAGGAAAGTCAAGAAAATAGATTCTTCCCTGGAGCTTCCAGAAGGGAACGCAGCCCTGCTGACACCTTGTGCTCAGCCCAGTGACACCCAGGTTGGACTCCTGACCTACAGAATAATAAGCTAATAAAGTGACACTGTTTAAAGTCATTAAGTTTATAATAATTCATTACGACAGCCACAGAAAACTCCTATGACACAACTTATTGGCTTCCTTCCCTCATCTCACTTTCTCTCTCCTCTGCTGGTGTTTGTTCCCTGGTGTCACCGTCCAAAAGAACTATGTGTGCTTCAATCCATGTCATAGGGTCTGCTTCTGAGGAAGCCCAAATCAAAACCGTAGTCAATCAAATTTAAATTATCATGTATCCAAGCCAAAACACAAGAAGACTAAACTTCTAAAATCAAGACAATTTTCTCTGCATTAAATCACCAGAGCAAGCAAAGGCACATAATAAAAGTGGTGATATTATTGACAATGAATATTATCAGAATTGCCATATATAGAGAAATTCTGAATTACATTAAGTCTACAGTCTGTTGCTATTAATGGCCTTTAAACAAATATCCCTAACTCTAGGCACTGTCAATTTTGGAACTATTGTAGAGCTACCCAGGTTATATTTCTAAAGACAAATTTGATTATCATTACTTGCTCAAAAACTTCAGTATTTTCTATTGCCATTGAATGTCTAGTCTCCTTATGAAACATCAACCTTCTTTTCCAGGCTTCTTTTCCACTGTTTCCTTCCATATACCACTTGGACTAGCCAAACTAGAGTCTTTGCCCTATAAGCACACTTCTTTCCTTTTCTCACATTGTTTCTTCTATCTGGAATAGTTTTAGACCCATCACCATCAATTCAAATCCCAACAATCCTTCAAGGTCCAAATATCTGCAGTTTGAGTCAATGCATAAGCGAATAAATGCATAAAAACGAAAGCTACCTGTGTACTGGTTGGCTTTTCTGTCCAGTCATACACCCCGGGATAAAGAATCAGAAAACAAATACCTAAAATGGTGAGAGTGGGGCCAGCCCATGCCAGGTTCCATGCTGTCTTTCTGCCGAACCACCACTTGCTTTGGTTTTCGTTTTATTGGTGTTGTTGATTTTTACTTCTATGCTCTGCCAAAGCAGCCTGTTCTTCCTTATTTATTAATAACTGCTTTCTTTACTCATGTACTTACCGAGGATATTCTGTTCCCCAAAAGAAAGGCTTCTGGAGCTCTCCTGCTGGAAATCCTGGGAGAAAGACAAAGAAACAAAATTGTAAGGCATACAGAGATTGATTTGATGATACTAAGTACCTGGTTCCAGCTTTAGCATTGAAGTTTCAAAGGCCCATATGAAAGGTACTCATGGAGTCGGGGCCCTCTAAGGGATCCCACTGTCACTAAGATGGTATTGACTGAACTGAATCTAAAATAAGCACATTACATAAATTTCAAGGAAATCATTTTGCATGGATACACTACTGGCAGTGTCCAGCCTGCTATGGACTGGAGTCCTTCACACACAGAATGTGCAGGAGGCCCCCAGCTATCCAGCAGCTTTCCCTACCCAATACTGAAAGGGCCACTTTCACAGACACACAACTTGTGCAATTACACAGGGCCTCCCATGCAGAAGGACCCTGAACTTGACTTCATGTTCTTCTGTCACTGTTTTGAAAATAAATGTTATCTTTGAACGTGGTTTTGTTAAGGAGCATCCAATGGGGCAAGGGAGCATGTGTGTGAGCAAAGGAGCCATGCACGATATGGGTGCCCACGGTTCCTAGATGCCTCATTTGCATAAAGCATCCATGTTACTGCCCAGGAGCACAGAACTCTTGCAGACCCATACTGTGTGGGAGTTCAGCAAGACTCAAAGTGAGTACAGGGTAAGCATGTTACATCTAGGACCGAGCAGGTGGGGGTTCTGACAGCCCCAGAGGGTTCTTTCCATTGGAACCAGAATTGGCTTTGATAGGCATTCTAAGAAACATGAATGATTAGTGAACCCTGTCAAACTCTTTCATTCTCCTATTACTTCTGTACATTAGCCAACCACATACACCAAAAATGATGACAGAGAAGAAAAGGGAAAGATGAAGTGAGCCATAGTTTCTTTTCCTTGCAGTCCTTTCTCACTCATCAATAAGCTGAAGTAGAGAGTGTTGGTAGAATGTGTGTGTATTAAGAAGTGAAATAAAAACAGATGAGTTAGTTTTGTGCACCGTTTCTACTGTTCCAGTGAAGAACAAAATACACACATGTACAAGCTACAAAATACAAACTGTATACTTTCAGTGATTTCACGTACAAGTTGAAAGCCTTATATTTGCATTTAAAACTGGCATTGTACAATATAAAGATGAACGGTAAAATTATGCTGAAGATTTAAAATTTTAATTTTCCTCAGAACAGCATTAAATGGCAAATTTTAATAAGTGACAAGTCTAGAGGAGGAGAGGCCACAGAAGGCAGGATAAAGCTTTACATTTTAGTGCCTTTAATAGTACTTTTTCTTGCTTTCTGAACAAGGGGCCCCCATATTTTTATTTTACACTGCACCCTGCAAATTATGTAGCTGGCCCTGGGTAGAGATGAGTGGGAGAAATGTTTTGCTTTGCATTGCAGCTCACTACTAAGTTTAACACCCTGAGTGGATCCTCGGAGCTACACTTGCAAGTCATCTCAAGAATAGTAACAAAAACAGAGAAAGAGAGACGCCTTCTCCAGTGTTCTTGCCAGAGCCACTAGGCAAAGCCCCTTGAGACTGAAAGTTGTTTTCATCAGTTAAAATGCTTTATCAACATTCTTTCTACCTGTCCTCCATGGCAGGATGCTGTGAGAAATGAGGGTAGGAAAGCCAGTTCTTAATTTAGAAATGAAATGTTAATTCTATTTATTTGTAGGTACAATATATCCTTTATATTCTCTTAATAATATCATAGTTGGAGGTTTCTAGGTGAAAAAATCTAATTGCAAAACAGAAATGATTCCAGAGAGTAGTTCTCTCTCTTCCTGCTGCTCTCACATAAAGGAAAATGCATCTGACTTTGAAAGACAACATCCTAGTCATCATCTTATTCTCTACATTTCCTTTAATATCTTGTGTATCTTTATATCAATATCCCATCCTCTTGTTGGGAATTACTCTTAGTAACTCGTTCTGATTTTGAAATATATACCCATGTTTTGCTGTGCATAATGTGCACTTTTTTACCCAAAGTTTTGAGGGAAAAATAAGGATGTACATTATATATGGGTATAATAATTACATACCATGGGTATAATAATGGGTACAATAATCCCATGTATAATGTGCACAAAAATGTGGGTGCGCATTACACACAGCGCATTACACACAGCACATTATACACAGCAAAATACAGTGTTTATGTACATATGCACATACATTACACACATATACAACCCACAGTGCTTATATGAAAATTTCATCTCACACATTATATCACCAAAAACCAATGGCATTTCCTAATAGGAACAATGATCATAAACCAACGCGATTTAATTACTCAATCATTCTGGCTTTCCTGCTTGGTAATGTACCCACTGGAAGCATTTATGTCCACTGCCAATCTCTTTACAGGAAAACATCTGACACCTGCATGAGTCTCCATTTCTGGCGCTTTTGCTATTAGAGGCCCCACACTCACAGGTGGCAGCCCTCACACTCCCTGATCAGCTGTATCTTTCCAGCTTGTGGGGGCCACAGAGCCCAACACTGATCAACAGAAGAATCTGATGGCCTCAGGACTGTTTCGCTGAAGTGAATGGATTAACAGTTTAAGCTGCATTTTTGGAGACGTCAACTGGCAAGAGTGACAGATTGAATCCCAACAGGGCCACCTCGATATCTTATCTCATGAAGTGGATTAAGTTGCATTTAGCAAAGGTGGGAGTAAAAAAAATAAATAAATGAAAAGGGGATTCTTTTTCTCTCTCCTTTTAATAGGATTTGTCAGGTTTTCTTGCATATCTATTTCATGTCCCTTCTTCCCCATTTCATCACTGCCTCACCATCCATTTCACTTTTAAAGCAGCTCTTCTTTCTATCAGTATATTTATGGGAGACATTTGTCATAGTGTAAATGTGTGTGTACACACACCCATACATATGTGTGTGTATATATCTATATGAACATAAGAGATATGAGAGGGAGAGAGAAGAAAGAGAAATGTAACTATTGAGTTAGCAAAGATCAATGAATTTGATAATAGCTAATATTGTCCAGGGTGTAGGAAGCATGTTGGTGGGAGTATAAGTCATTGCAAGCATTTTGGAGAGAACAATTTAGTCATCTCTTAATGCTTTAAATACCATTTAGTAGTAAGTGCTGCTACGGAGAAAGCTCAAAAAGATGTTATCAAATGAAGAAGATCAGTGAGGTAAGTGAAAAACAGCATTCAGTGGTGTATGGGGCCCATTCATGTGTGATATGTGTAAGCGTATGTAGATAAAGTCAGTTCTGCTTATAACACTCCTACTGAAAAGGCAAATTTGTTCCACCATGACGGATATATTAGTGGAAAACCTGGGGCAATAAGGACATAGAATTCAAGCCAAGAAGGCAATAGTTCTCATAACACCCTTATACGCTTGGTCACTTAAAAGACGTGGGTATCTTGAACACACCACACTCGATCCAGGATGAAGTGGAGGCAGACTTCGAGTCGTGGGTTACTTTGGCCACTTTGGCTGAAGAGCAGGTTCAAGGTATTGGTAGTGTTTTTCTGAACTCGGCCCTGCAGGTATATCTAGGCTTCTGTGAGTGGAGAAATCATGTGGGCAGAAACAGAGTATAATCCCTCTACCCTCTAAAGACATAGCTTGGTTTCCTGCGGGAGGAAGGGTCAGAGGGGTTGATATAATAATGGAGACTACTGCATTCCCTGGCTGTGTTTATCTATTTTTTCCACCTAATCATTTCCCCATTTTCTCATTGTTTCTACATTCTGTTTCTGTGATTTAAATTTTTAATAAAATTAAAATATTAAAAAAACTGGGGCAGAACTCCAATTTCACATTTGCTCATGTGCCATTTCCTTCACAAGAAATGCTAGACGCAGGCAGAAAACTGCACCTACATGAGCTAAGCCACATAGGAATACACAAAATGCACACGTCCCAACACGGACCAGCTACCTCCATTCGCTGCACATGGTAAAAGCCACATCTGATGGTAAAACTTCCCTTCCAATTTCACATAACCCTCCTTCGTCCACTGCACAATAACTCACTAGCTGGAAGTCCTCCAGCACCCACTTCCACAAGCAAACTTCAGGTCTTTTCTAGGAAAAGCACCACATTCACTGTAGCATTTATACATTTACCCATTTAACATGGGCAAAAACTGTGCTATTTTCACTAGGCACCTAGATTTCGTTTTGTGTTACCAATAAAGTTTCTGATTGTTGTGTCCTTAACCCCTTTTTTTCCATGAGCTTTGTGGCTTCTATTGTACAATTTGCCATAGCACAGTGATGTTTAGGAACACATATGTCACATTATAGCAGAACTAATTGTATATATATGTATGTGTGTATGTGTGTGTGTATATATTTATATAATATATGTTTGTGCATATATAGACATGTATTCCTGTTAGTGCTTCTCAAATTTTACCATGCATCAGAATCACCTGAAGGGCTTACTGAAATGCAGAGTACTGGGCCCCACCCTTTGAGCTTCTGAGTCAGTAGGTCCTGAGGAGGGGACAAAGAATCTGCATCTCTAACAAGCTTGACTGTGATGCTGATGCTGCTGTCCCAGGGACCACACTTCAAGAACTACTGCGTGCCAGCATGGATGGAACTGGAGAGCATCATGCTAAGTGAAATAAGCCAGGTGGTGAAAGACAGATACCATATGATCTCACCTATAACTGGAACCTAATCAACAAAACAAACAAGCAAGCAAAATAGAACCAGAGACATGGAAATAAAGAACAAACTGACAGTATAACCAGAGGGGAGAAGGGAAGGGATAATGGGCTGAAAAAGGGGAAGGGTTGTCAAGGAACATGTATAAAGGACCCATGGACAAAGCCGAAGGGGGGTAGGATTGAGGGTGGGGGTGGGCGGCTGGGAAAAAGTGGTGGCAGGAGAATGGAGCCAACTGTACTTGAACAACAATAAAAAAAAAAAGAACGACTGCCCAATCACTGGCTCATGTACACCGTGGAGTCACGGCTTAATCTGTAGATGGCTGTGTTGCTGTAATTAAGAAATGTG